TATATATATATTCGCTTCCCACTTTACTTCTGAATCCTAAATATTTTTGAAACTTTAAAGAATAACTGCAAAAAGTTATTCTTTTTGTCCTCAGATTTTAACTGACCAGCTGGTCTTATAACAAAGCAACAGTCCCTCTGTGGTCAGACCCCTGCAAGGACCAGACTCATCAAGTATTTAATGAATTCAGACCAGAAATATTGAACTGATCTTTCCTGTTTGTCTCAAAGCTCCTGTTTCAAAGAAAGTGGTGAAGCTAAAGGTGAGGATGTCCTCTCAGGACCTGAACGACCCAGGTGTTCTGGCAGATTTACTGAAGCAGGTAATTTGACCTGAGGACCTGAAACAAACTGAGTCTGTTTTGTCCTCGTTTGGTTTTATTTTGAAATATTCTGCTTGTTCTGTTAAAAAAACCTGTTGGTGAGTTTTTATCTCAGTTTGTGATCACTGATTTATTCATCCATTTGTTTATCTGACAATAAAAAAAACTCCTGGATGCAGTTCAGTGTTCAAGTTCAAGTTTCAAGTTCATTTGCCATTTGCAGTAAAGAAAACCCCATTGGAAAGACAGTGCAAAGACAGTCTTTAACAGTTTTTATCTCAAGGTCCATTTTTCTTTGTCTCAGTTCAAACAGAAGCTGATGGACAACAGAGACGACAGAGACATCAGGCTGAGCTGGAGGACAAAGAATGATGGAAAGATCTTCCACAAGGACAGATGATCAGCTCCCATTACAAATATATTAAACTTTTTTTTCTTTTTCCTTCATTAGTCTTGTGAATATTTTCAGATTTTTGTAGCTAAAATTAATCTTTAAATTAAATAATCTGACTGAATTCAGGATCATAAATAAAACTGTAAAATGAGATATTTGTTGTTTTGTTATAAAGCAGAATAAAAATGTAAAGTTGATTATTTCTTGAATGTTGAATGTTTACAGACTAAAAAAATTCAAGAGCTGAATTCCCATATGTTTGAAAAAAATAATTTTGGAAATTAAACAAAAAATAATAACAAGTTAACAATAAAAAGCACTGTATGTTCAGTTCAACTTTTTTTGTCCTCATTCTAGTTACTTGAGTTGTTTAAACATGAAAAATCGACAGGTTTTTGTTTTTTATAACTTTTGTACAGCCTGCAGTTTAACATGGTGACCAGCAGAGAGCAGCAGAGTGTTTTCAGTGTTTATGTTTAAGAATAACTCACAGAAAGGATTTGAAGTCTTCAGACTTTCAGTTTGGTTCTGCTCCTTTCAGCAGCAGAAAATGTCCTCACAGCTGCAGCTCCAAGACCCACACAGGTCAAAGGTCAACCTGAATCAGTTCACAAAACAGAAAGAATGGACCAGAACCGGTCTTCTGACCAGTCATGAGGACTGCCTTGGTCCCACAGTCTGAGACATGTTGTCCTACAGTCAGACATGTTGTCCTACAGTCAGACACGTTGTCCTACAGTCAGACATGTTGTCCTACAGTCAGACATGTTGTCCTACAGTCTGAGACATGTTGTCCTACAC